TCTGGCGGTAGAGGGCGTAGAGGCCGACGTTCGACACCTTCACGATCTTAAAACGCACTCCGGGAATATCGCCGACGGCGTGGCCGGAACGGCCGAATCCGGACACCAGAACCTCGTCGTTCTCCTCGATGAAGTGCAGGCAGCCGTCATTGGGCACGAAGGCGATGATCTTCTTGTCGTTTTTGATCAGCTGCACGCGCACGCACTTACGAATGGCAGAGTTCGGCTGCTTCGCACCAACGCCAATCTTCTCCAGCACGATGCCCTTCGCGTGGGAGGAGCCTCCAAAGGGATTGGCCTTCTGCGCCACGAAGGTGTGGGACTTCTTCCAGCCCTTGTCGGCCCAGCGGTTCTTGCGACGCAGGCGCACAAGCTTGCGGGCTGCGTGTTGTCCGTTCGCCTTTGTCATGACTTCCCTCGAAGCGAAATGGTTTCTCCGTCTGCCGGCAAAGCGGTGGCAATGGCAGCAGTAAAAATGACAAAAAGAAAAAAAAGGGAAAAAAGTCACTAAACACCATCATGTTAAAAAAACGACAGCGGTGGCAAAAACAACGGACTCATGCGTTGCGTGTGTGTGGGGGGAGGGTGCTTTAATTTTTGGTGGGTGGGTGCAGTCCACCAACGCCAAAAAAAAAAAAAAATGAGTTAAAACAAAAAAGAAAAGGAAAAGAAATGAACAACCGAAAAAGTCCGAAGAAAATACGGGGCCCTGAGCCAATTTTCTGCACGATGCGACAACATGGTTACTCCTCCGTCACGACGTTGGTCTTGGTCTGCACGTAGATGCCGTCCAGGAACTTGCGGATATCCTTTTTCTTCACCAGGCAGAGCTGATGCATCACGGCGGCCTCGCGCGAGACTTCCTCCAAGTCATTGCCTTCCAGCACGAGTTCGTCCTTCACAACGGTGGGGTCCGTGCGGTAGACCTTGACGCCATCGGCAACAACCTGCCGGCGAACACGCTTCTCGCCAAGGAAGTTGCGAATCTCCACAAGTTGGTTCTCCACGGAGACTGAGATGGGAAAGTGGGCGTAGGCGAAGCGAATCTTAAAACGGAAGCCCCTTGTCACACCCGTAATCATGTTGCGCACATGCGAGAGTGCCGTGTTGATGGTCGAGTTGTCAATTTTTGTGCCAAACCAACGAACGGCAGTGAAGGTGCGGAACTTCTTGTTCACACGGAAGTCCAGCTGCAGGTGACGGAGGTCCTTCGTGAGTGTGCCTCGCTTCCCCTTGACGGTGACGATGCGGTCCTTCACGGAGAGCTCGACGTCCTCCGGATATGTGATGCGGTCCTGTGCCCTGATTTTCATTTATGCACCTTCACTAACTCACCGCTTTCCGTGCGTGTCTGCACCGTCTCTCTCCCTTTCTTCCTCTCTACTGTGGGCACAGTGTGGAAGAATGAGTAAAAGAAAGTGCCGTGGCCCCTCCTCTTTTTTCCCTTTTCCTTCGTCTCTTTGTGTGTGTGTGTGTGCCATTGGACACGTGTCACCATGCACAGGGAGCATTTAGGATGCGTGCACGGGGAAATAAACAAAAGAAGAAAAAGAGATGTAAGCAAAAAAAAAAAAAAAAAAAGGGGAAATATATATAAATATATAATAAGAGGCAAAGAAACAAACAGCCACACACTGCAACCAAAAGACAGAAGGACGTGTATACACAAAAAGACGTGGACACCGTACCGCATTGGGCACACATGTACACACCGATGCATGTTGCACTAAACTCTATCACGGAAACGCGTACAAATGATAAATAAAACAACAGCGAGACTTTTTTTTTTATGCGGATAACTCCCTCTCCCCCTCCCCCCCCCAAAAAAAAAAAGTAATCCGTTTTTCTTTTCTTTTTTTTTTTTCCATTTTCTTCTCCCACCGTCTTTAAAACAAAAACAAACAGTGCGTGTAAATATCTAACAATTAAAAAAGGAAAAAAAAAAAAAGAAAGAAAAAAAAAAGAAGGCAACATGGCACAGGATAGACAAGTGAGGAAGCGTTAAAAAAAGAAAAAAAGAAATAAAAAAAGAAATAAAAGGGCGCCATTGAAATGACGTCCATCTTCCCGCCTCAGTCCGAGCACACACGCACGCACGCACGTACTTATATCAACAGCGCCAGCCATTTCTAATTTCCTCCTCCGCCTCTCTTTCTCTCTCTCTTCTTTCATTTATTTTTATTTTATTTTCTATTTTTTTTTCTTTTTTCTACGACGTCTCATTGCATCCCTCCCCGGAAGGTGCAGAATCCCTCGTGTTGCCTGCAAAAGTCTAACGTTGCAAACAATCAAAGAAAAAAAAAAAAACATGAATTAAAAATGGCGGGTGTGTAATGCGTCGAGAGGCGTCAATAAAAGAAGGGGGAAAAGGAGGGAATAGGGAAACAGGACGAACACGGCAGTAGTCCTGCTGCTCCTCCTCCTCCTCCTCCTCCTCCGCTCGGTGGCGTCGTCCCTCTTTCTTTTCTTTTCTTTTTTTATTGCCACCTCCATCGCTAAA